GCTACTTTTCTGAGTTGCTTTTTTTCCCAAAGTACAGTTCTATTCAAACCAGCGTTCAGAATCACCAAGCAGAGATTGTAAATCAGAAAGTTGCACTGGAATCTCAATAGTGGAGAGGTACTCACAGTCCATGATCTTCTGGGTTAGTGATACCTTGCTGATGAGCGATCACACGGCACAACTTTCCTGTAGTCATCTGCGGAACACCAGGGAATGTGGCATACCTGAGATATATACCTCATACGTGACTTTAACTCACTCACATGCACAATTGTTTTTTGAAAAACAAGAAGAAGAAAATTAGAAAGAGCAGAAAGCAGAAACAGAAAGTTGCATGATATCTAAGAGATCTGCAGTCTTTTTGAGCATTTGGATCTGGCATACGGAAAAACGCTATATTAACCCTCAACCGTTTGAAACAAAGTTCAAGAAGTTGTGAATTACAATTTTTCAAAATTTTGCTTATTCCTAGTTCATCAGAAAAAAAAAAAACAAAAAAAAAACTGATCGTATCAGACACTTGCAAAACATGTTTTTTAACATTTGGGCTAAAAAAACGAAAAGCTTTGCTTGCAGTCCTTATCATTTGATGATTGATATGTTAAAGACAGAAAAGTTTAGTTACCTGATACAACCCGCAATCTCGTCCGGTATAGCTACTTTCACAAAAGCATCAGATGCGGAAGATGCTGGTGAGGACATCTGATGTGAAAGATCCTGTAAACCCAAAGAAAAGATTTGAACATGGAAAGTGTTGCAATGGAGGAACCACACATACCATGCTATTCATCATCTCTTCGTCCTTTTCAGCAAGTTTCTTGATAGCATCGATGCTTTTCAAAATGTGAATGGCACAGAATAGGGCTGTTAAGTAATACGCAGCATCACCCTGGAGGAGAATGGCAAACTGTGTACCAAAAATGGAAAAAACGTTGTTCACTTGAAAATTTTTCACCTTTGTAATCATCTGCTGAGGCAACAATTCCCACATATACCATGCTTCTACCTCACAGCCAACAGTTGATGTTCTAGCCAAGATGTACACAAGCCATCGAACGAGATCTAAAAAACGAGCTGTAAGTAAAGTTCTAATAATTCCACAAATTCTATAATAAAAAGAAGAAGAAATACGATAACGATGGAAAATGTGTAACTTGATAACAAACCATCGGCCGCCATAGTTTTTTCTGAGCGTTTGTCGTCATTCGGTTGCAATGACATCACTATGCTGATTGCTCTAAAAACCCAAATATAGGTCGGATTTCCACAAATATTCACCTTCATTTCGCATGGCTCCATAGCAAAATTTTGCAGATAAAAAGTAAGATGTAACATGATCCGTAATTAGGTATGGCTTCCTAGTTGCTCCATGACTTTTTATCAAAATTGCCATAAACTATACCTTAGCAGATTTTCCAGCTTTTTCAGCGGAGAATAGTGATGCTGCATCTTTCGTAGACAAATTTTGATCTGTTCCATTACAGAAGCAGGAGGAGCACTCATCTAAAGAAAAATAGAGATTGGCAGAAATTTTCTCGTTGAAATTACATCGTTGTAGCGTACACTAACCTGATCAGCATTTGAAAAGCCTAAATCGCTGAGTGACAAGGAGCGAACATAAGCGATATTAGCAGATAGCGCTTGTAACCCGCCAGCTCTTGAATTTTCTTTGACCATAACGTGATAGAGATGGGGTTTGACCCGTTCTAGAAATGCGCAATTTATGAGATGGTTCAGAAAAAGAAAATTAGGTTGCTTCCAACAGTGGAAAGTTTTCAGATTGAATGAACTTACTCAGTAACAGCTTATGCAGAACTGCTTCCAGAATTGCATCAATGTTAAGTATCTGATTCGCATTAAGATGAGAGCTCTCCTGATCGATAAGAGCGTGCAGATCACCTGAAAAGCGAAAAGTGAAATTTGATACAGTTATTCTTGATACAATCCGATACAAGCTGAAATTCCAGCAATTGCAGCGATCCAACTAAATACATGCCTATCAGATAACTTAATATTCGGAAAATTCTAGAACATAGAAAGTGTAAATAATATTTGTGAGCAAAAGGCAAACACAAAGTAGGCTATCCGGAGAATGCCAATGATTTTACCGATTTATTAGTTTTTGTTTCTTGCCTTAGGCTGTGGAAACCGTACGCAACGTTGGCTGACGTGCTGATTACGAATCTAAGCGCGCAAAAATCTATGGGTCGGCTCCGTTGACTTATTACTTTTTTTCGAATTTTCACTCTGAGATGCTGGGAACTCTGCAATAGAGTAAGCTGAGGATCTAATCACAAACGTGTTCAATTGAAGATTTATCGATTGACTTCACTGCTTCAACGATTTCAACTTTTTGTTCTGAGGTGTTGGAAACTGATGTGCCATGGTAGTTCGATGGTGGCTACGAATATGACATCATTCGTAGTCAGCATCGATAATATTTGAGACAAAACTTACTGCATCCCAACTAAACTTTTTATATCGCCCTGGGCTACTCAATTAATGTAAAGGTGTATGTCAACG